CCTCCCCCTGTACATACTGCAATGGAATATCGCTATCTACAGCCCTGTTCTTGTGCACTTTTGAGCGGGGAAAGTGGCTGCTACTCCAGTCACTGACTTCGCCCATGGTATGGACCGTCCTCGGAGGTGAGGGTACAGTTCTTCTTTAGACATTAAAAAATTCCCCGGTGCAGATGGCGCGTACGTGACGCTGCATGTGAAGCCTATTTCGTCGCCCTCATCACAACGAGGAACCCTTGCGCTCCATCCTAGAAAGGGTACCCATACAGTTTCAGAAATGAATGAAAAATCTACATGTTACAAGCATGTAGCGCACAACAATTTACTGGTAAGACGTCCTGCATCTCCCATCTTCACCAATCCTGAACAGCGCGAAGCCCCTCAAAAGAGGAAAAGGATCAATTTGGCAAAATTTCCAGCCAACAGTGAAGATGCATATGGTGTGAATTCCTCATACCCTGCGACTTCCCCATAAGGAAAGTGATGATTTTTAACAATATGAGATAGAATTTCAGGTCAGTTGGAGTGATCGCTTTCGTGATTGTAACCGACTGTATGCCTTATTGTGAAAAGCGTCCAAATCCACAAATTGTAGAAGCGCAGAGGTGAATACAAGCAAATCTACCACTGTAACACCCTATTTCCTGAGGTATAAGGCACATTTCATAGAGTCGCACGCAAAAAGTTGGTCGACACAGCGACAGTTTTCCTCTTTTTTGCACTTTTTGAACATCCACTTAGTAAACACCTCCTATTGGATGTAAATCACTGATATCGATCATAATAAACAAAAAGAAACGCAAAAGTGGAGTGAAGAAGAAACATTCGCGGCGTTTGAACCAGAAGTGCGACCTATACTGGGAGCGCCTTATACTCCACAAAATAGGGCAATATGAGTACCGAAAAATCTCTCTGAACCACACTTTCAGACTTCGAGCGTACGAATACCCCGCCAAGCTGCATCTGTCGGCTGAGTGTCGTTTCTCAATTGACACGATGATGACGTTTTCATGGCGTGATCGTCCGAATATATCACATTGCGGTTGTCTGCCGTGGTTTCAGTCCTTACCGCCTAACGCTTCTCACGGGTTGAAGAATCCTCATTCTCGACTGAACTAGATATTGCGGAACGGATGTAAACACCTTTCACTGACTCTAGACCTTTCGCGATAGCACATAATTCCCAGTTTTACTATTTTGAAGAGAGATTACGCATAAAGTTCTGATTGGTTGCTCAACAAGACTTGTGGAAATACACGAACAACTACAGTGATGATACCTCCTCAAGCACTTTATGCTGTTCCTGTGAAGTTGAAGGTAACGACTCGATAAGGTCTCGAAATCGACCCAACTCCAATTCTGCCGCACGACCTAAAATCAAGGACTAAACCTCAGCCATACGGTCATTTCCCACTAAAACATAATCGTACTTCTCTTCGTTTGCTCCATGTAGAGCACCACTCCTCTCCATATGAACTGAGAAGAAGCCTAAGGAATATGGATATTACTAATTGGGGTTTTCGCCCAAATGCGGTTACTGTACTTTGGATGAACCTGCTTCTAATCGACAACGATTTCATCATAGAACTTTTTATGATAAAACGAAACATCTATATCAAATAACAATGGATTCACAACATGAACCAAATAACAAGTAAAATAAAGGCTCTATGAACAACAAAGCAGCAAAACAACAAAAATACAACAATAACCACTATGACCTGTTATGCCATTTTGCATCTTTACGAGTCTTATATCCGAATCATCCGTCCATGTTGGCCTTCGCTTTCTTGTCGCACAGCCAGCCTTTACTTTCAAAATCGGTCCTACTTAAATGGTTCCGAATTAGGGAAACTATTGCCGTAAAGAACAAGTGCAGTTTTAGCCATCGATCACGTCACTTTTTGGCATCTGCGCCACCGCATCCTCAAGTTCCAATTCAACAAGCGTTACGGCTCATCAAATGTAATGTGGCCTGTACAGCGACTTGGGAAGGGAAGCGTGGGGGGGGCAGCCAAAGTACGAGTCACTGTTCTTTTCCCGAATCTGATACTAATTTACCCTCTACCTCAGCGGGTACTTCTCATACCTGTGGAGATCACGCAATTGCGCCCGGACTTCGGTGGCCGGAGGGAAGAGGAGATGCCGCAAGAATTAGAATCAGGTTTACTTTTCTCCGGATCCTTCTGCTCGCCAGACTAAGCACTACACCCTAACCCTCGACGATATTTTCTATTCAGGGGAAATCGGAGATATCTGAAAAAAAAACTCGGAGAAAAGGGAGCAGAAGTCGGATAATTCCAGAAATTGGAGGTAGGATCGGAGAAAGCGCGGTCGCTTGACACAGGCAGGAAACTCTCGAGGCGGAGCGGGTGTGAGGGAGGCGGACGAAGTAATCAACGATTTTTTTCTCAGTGGCAGGGAAGTGCAATGCTCCAGGGGAGGGGGAGGAGGGTAGAGGCTGCTTTTCTTGGTCTCAGCGATGGCGGATTTGGAATTTACCCCCTCCCCCCAGACCGCGCGAGCGGCTAGCGTGCCACCGGCCACTAAACCTCCATCAAAACAAGCAGACGGCCAAGAGAAATCGCCATTTTTGCCACTCATCGCGCGCGGGACGACGGATGCAAAGCCTGTTGATGTTGAAACACCGGCTTCGTATAAACTATTAACAGCCATAGAAATTTATCTCTATTCTTTGGTTTTATAAATTGTGTATTTGCCGCCACTACAGCCTAGGCAAACTTGTCAGCTGCTTGCCGCGGGCTCCGTCCTACACCCCGCCTAAAATACGTATTATTCCGCAAATAAAAAAGCGCATTAACTAAACGAACCTCGGATTATAGGTCCACTTGGGGAACACTCTTTTATATAAGGACATCATAACAGAATCAGCAGCGTTCAGTTGCTGATCAAATCGGCATTTCATGTGACCGTGAGTACCTGAAAATAACAACACTAAATGGTTTACTGTAGAAAAACAGCAATCACTGAACGCAACGAACCTAAGGCCTCTTTTATGTGCCCGCGACGGCCACTAGGCGTATACAATTCCACTGGTTTGAACCACTCGATATCCTCTGGAACGATGAAAAAATGTCTAAGACAATAACACTCACCAAAATGAGGCACTAAATATTATGGAAAACCACCAAAGCATGACAGGAGTTTCGTTCGCTTGTGCCGAACGTCTTTTAGACGTTCGTACTTCACCAATATAGAATATCTGTGACACCGGGGAACCAGCAACAATAGAATCTATACCTATCAATCTAGCAACAATCGTCTTGCACTTCAGAGGATTGCGCAGTTGAAAGAGTCCGGGTACTCAAAGTGTAGGCGTTCGAAGGCAATCAGAGCTGCACATCCTTTCGTTAGAAAAATTGCAAAATACTATTCCCCCTCCCCCCACTCCCTCAAAATTTCCTCCTCTGGTACAGCTCCCGTTATCCTTCGACCATCCTACGTACTATCTTCCTGAATTCTCAGAAAATCCTTCCCTGCACTGGAATTTTTCTTCAGAAAATCTGATTCGCCAGTTTCTCCAGTTTTTCTTCCCAAAAGCTTTCGTCGAGGCAGTCTTGCGACGCGCAAGTACGCCCAGACTTCAAACAGAAAACGGCCGCAACAAAAATATTTTCTCAGAAGCAAATGCGAGCAAGAGAGTTATTTGGATCTGCTCACAAGAAATCTCGAATTCTACGAAACCGCATATTCTACACATTCGCTGAGTATAAACGTTCCACATTTCCGAAAAAACCTTCTATTTGTTTGTACTACTCACCCCTATTAAAAAACATGTAGCGGCAAACCACAGAACGTTTGTTGATCTTGAATGGGTGACCTGACAGCACAATTCGTTTCAACACTATCCTGTCAGGATTAATATCCAGCAACGAGCCCGTGGCAACCAGCTCCTGAAAAGGAGACCATTGAAGTCTGTCTCTGTAGAAAGGAAAGGAAGCTATTACAGTTGATATCACCGTCATCAGTCGGGGGGGGGGGATGTCAAGAGACATCATTATCGCTACTGGCAGAAAATATTTATGATTTATTATCGGTTAGTAAAGCAGAACAGAACACAACATAGTTATGGAACACATTGACCGATAAGCGGCAGCATGAAGTTAATAAGCAACAGCATGAAACCTCATAAGCGGTGACCGAAAAGCTAACCGGAAGCGGGCCCATTCCGCCCATCCGGACTCCGCCCCCGACTGATTGCGACGACATTAGCACTAAATTACTGACTAAAACGCAAGAATCAATTGAACTCACCTCTTTGCCTGCTTTTCCCTCGCGGAACACCAAGACTGAGGCAGGAGGAAAAGTGATTGGGGCGAAAACCGAAGCAACACAACACGCATTCGCAGGCAAATAACGTTCCATCTGGAAAGAAAGGATAAAGGTTGCAAAAGCTATCTAATTTGACAAGCAAATGTAGCAACCTTGAACTTGTTCCCATTTGTGTGCTGGCTGAAAACAGGAGATGCTTCAAATTTACGGAATCCAACACTAAAGATCAGTTTCTGAAACAATTAACGTCACTTATAGGAAATGTAGAAGAAAAAACAACAACCAAACCGTCATTTTGTCAGAAGAATGGAGAATAAAGAAAAGTTTCTTTGATAAAAAGGGTACCTGTTTGCTCATGATTGGAACCCTGCAGGAAGGATGTTTCCGGATCACGAAATTCAGAACAGACATGCGTTGTTCGTGAGGCAAAAGTTGATACAGAATCAAAGGAGCAGATGGATCCCATTGCTCTGAAACGCGAGATTGTTGAAGCAGAATTTACCGAAGAGGATTTTGCTTTTGGTTGTAGGAAAAAAACACTATTTCAAATCACTAGAAATCAGTGCTGGGACAGTTCAACAAAGAAACACCTACAATACTACTACTACATAGAAAACACACTGTACTGGATGCCTAAAAGATACATCACAGTTTCAGAGGAAGACTATCGAATTTTTTTAGGAGGGGGACACCTCGTTGTGCTGACCCCTACAAACATGGCGTTTCAGGACACCTCATGATAACGACAAGCATAACAAACTGATAAGGGGTACCTTGTTTTTTGCTATGAGAAGTCAGTTCACAAAAATCAACCTCCCCTGGCATTTACGACGCTTCCCACAAAGAACCAAACCACTGAAAATGAAATCACTGATCCGTATGCTGAAAATCGGGACCTCGACAAGGTGCCACGAAGGCATATTCCAGGGGTTAGTATTAACCAGTCGTGGCGCACCAGTAGTTCGAGAAAAAAAAGTACACATGGTGAACCCCAACGTTTATAAGGAAAAGTCCTCGATATTCTCAATTTGCGCCAATAATATTTTGTCTGCTAGCGTCTTCGTCAAACCGTCAACGTGGCATCCTGTTTTTCTAAATAGCTAGGTGGGTCGGAGTATATTTAGAACCTGGAATATTATACTTTGAAACACTGGAATATCGACGCTCAGGTAAGTGGGAGGTGTACGCACCAGTACCTACAGCCATTGCGCATCGCTCTTAATTGTCTGGAATCACGTACAGGGGAACTGGGTCTGACGCGGGCGTGAGCCCATGTTTTCCATTGATCACACTTGCCGTGCTAGCCCACTTCACAGTCGACCGCTGGAACATACGGGTTGGCACCGCGTTAAATCCACACCCCCAAAATGTCCCAGCATCCGCAGCCAACGAGACTGTATGTGCCTCTTCTCTCAGTTAAGGTCTAGGCTCGCCGCAAGATCACAGGCTAATTCACTCGCACGGGGTCACAGTTAAAGCGCAGAAGCCTGACAGAATCAGTCAATGTGACCACTTGTTGTCGCGTGCCTCTCTTAAGCTTTCAAGCTCCGTTCTAGGGGTAAGGGAAGCGTCACAGGAGGGCGCAGCAGTGACCCCCCCCCATAACCATGTTGGCACCAAAAGTTATTGGGTAGAATTCGAAGAAAGTACCGAAAATTTTAGTGCTTTTCAAACTTAGAACGAATTTCTGTAGCAAGCAGAAGTTTACAGAGAAAGTGAAAGAGACTGGAAGAAATAAAAACTACCCCAAAAAGGAATAAAAATGGCGAAAGATGAAAGAATGATGAAAAATAAACTTACGAGCAAGTGTGATCGGAACCCGATCAATCTGCAACGTCACATATTGCCCAGAGAAAACGCATGACGTCGGATCATAATCCCCAATTTCGCTGAGTACAGTCTTCCTGGTCTTTTTGTAGTTTTGGAATTGGAATATACGGGCGTAATCTGACGGGAGATTTTCTTTGGGGTCCCACGGAGACGTCCTGCAATATATTAGTGGAAAACCTTTGACAATAACGTAGATCTCGATCTAGGGAGCAACAAAAGGAAGAAAATGAATACCTGAAACTTTTCAAGCCACGATATTTCTGAAAACGAATTCTAGCAAGGTCGTTCAAAGGCGTATCGATTTCATCGGGAAATTGTGCATTCTCTCTTTCGCGACGATACTTTTCCACCTTGAAAAACACCTACAGTTCGTTCGCTGAGGATGATGGAGCGTATCAAGGAGATGAGGAGAGGGTGGTGGGGAGGCAGTTGCTAACCCGTCTTTCGCTTTTTTTTCGGCAAGCGTGAAGATCATATAATATTGATGGTATCAGGCGTTTTTCACCAGCTGTCGCTTACTCGCTTCAACAGCTGGTGGAAGACGGCCTGAAGGCGCTCCGAACCCAGCTTCTCGATACGCCCCTTCACCCACCGCGGACAAGACTCTGACACCACCGACATGAATTCTATTGCATAAAAACAGCTAGATTAATTTGTAGATAGCAACATACTTCGTCGAGATCGTCAGCTTCATCGTCATCATTAACTTCTGACATCATATCTTCCATTTCTTCCATATGAGGACCTTCACCTTCACTTTCTTCAGGAGCCACTTCCATCTCCATCTCATTCCCGTGCTCTTCATCTTCCTGTCAAAGGTACCACACGGATTACCAGTAAACTTCAATAAACATTACAAAAAGCTCACATCATCAGCGCTGTCCTCATCGTCACTGGCCGATTCACCATCGTCATCATCAACAATCCACGCGGCTTGATATGACGAAGTTCCTTTTGGTACTTTGCGAACGCCAGCCTCATTTTTCACTATAAAATGCAAGAGATGAAAAAAACCGCATGTCCATTTACGATTTTGATATTTATTATTATTATTATTGATGAAAAGCGTAAATTACAGTGCACTGACTTTTAGCATCATCAGCAAGGTCGAATTCATCAGGCCATGTCTGTTCAGCATCCATTGGGTCCGGAACAATTTCGGATTGTAGGGGTTCACGTCGGGACTCGTCAGCAACCACAAGCACTTTTGGTGTATCATCCCCGTTCAGTGCAGCTTTTTCATTCTGGAACAAAATAAACAGGGAATAAAAATAGGCCATGTTTGGTCTAGAGGGAGCACCAAGTAAGCGTGTATAGGCCACATGGCAAAGATCTGTAAATTTTTGTAACCTAAACAGGAACTACAAAAAGAACTAGTGAAAAAAACTAACTAGGTACTATTGCTATTATAGTTCTGCCACCAGGACTATGAAGACGCTTTACTCAACCAGGGTTTCAAATTTGCGCCGTTTTCTAGGGTCTTGTATTTCACTACTAAGGCAGCGTTCGACTTGGCGATGACGCGCGTCGACGCGCTACAACAACACTGCTCCAGAGCTACAGATGGGAACGTAGCCACAGACAGGTATCGATCGGTGTCGGCCGTTATTGCTTCGAGAGAGCATGGGGTAATAAGAGGGCACGCGTAATATCTTCGTGAGCTATAATACTCTTTCGAAACACTAGTGCTTAGCGCCGATCGATAAAATACTGTGTGATAAGGCAACGCCCACCCTCTTATTCTCCATACTCTGTCAAAGCGGCCGACGACGATCGATACCCCCGTTTCCGTCTATAAATTTGGAGCGTTGTTGTAATGATAGCGCGTCGACGCGCGTCATCGCGAAGTCTGAACGCTACTCAAAGTATAGCACAGCGCTACAGTCAATCAGAAGCTTGAAAAATAACGAATAACGACAATAACGAGGCTTAAGATGGGTATCAATTGGCGCCGAGCGCTACTACTTCGAGTATGGAAGAATAGAAGAGTGCGCGTTGCCTAACCACACAATCAGCGAAATACTGCGGTTTACCTGTTTCAGTGGATGT